GTTCATTTTTTACCAAAGACGAATGATTAAATCTTTTGTACTAAGGGTGAACAAAGGGTTCATTATATTTCATTTAGTTGCATGGGAAAAATATATTATTAGTTTATTATGACTTATAATAATAATATATTATTAGTATTAATAATAATACATTATTAGTTTATTCCACTTTCACGGTGCTTCATTTTTGGCATGGTAAGGGACTTTTTATGTCAATCTACTTCACAATCTTGGGGAAAGTCTTGTGATGAGTGTTGGTGGCAATTGTTTAGATGAAGATAATGAAAGCCTTACAGAGTCAAATCCATTTTATTTAGATTGCAAGTCAAATGGAAATAAATATTTTTTAAGTAACTATGATGAGGCGGAAAGATTAACAGAATCTTTTTTCCCCTTTGACATAAATGGTATATATTTAAAATTGCTTGGTGTATCAGCAGACCACGGGTCAGTTTTTCAGAGACTAAGGTTAAATCCTGCAAAAAGACCCACACCACACAAGAACCCACTAAATGAGCCAGTTCTGGCACACAGAACACCTAAATGAATATCCTAAATTAAATTTGGCATCGCTATGTCTTCAGAAGAGTGACTGAAGATTTAATTTCAACTCTGACCTTTGCTCTAACATGACTGAATATACTCTGAACCACTTGGTAAAGAGCCAAGTCAGAGCCCCTTTCTTCCCAAATTTTTTTTGTGCATGCATGTTTATTTACATTTGATTTAGTCACAATATGTTACCTCATTCACTGGCTGAGGCACCTGGCCAGGTAGGTTTATTGGCCTGGTATTTTCAAGTTTGATTGATAAGAACAACTTTCACAATAAATAAAGTCCATTCTTCCATCATGGGTATGTGTAACCTTGTGACACAGTCTTACGTGGCAACCTAACTGTGGTTTTTACTTTGGCAGCAGCCTCTCTCTGTGGATCCCCATCCCTTTGCCATTCCTTCTGACAAGCTGGGTTCCTCCTTGACAACTGAATCTCCTGTTGGCTCCTTTGCCTTCCCCATTGTTCCTGTCTTTTTCTATAAACACCCCCTGCTACCATAGTCCACCCCTATTTGCAGAGAATTTCCACATCTGGCTATTGCCTTCTATCTGTCCAAGTCTCATCTTTCACCCCTTTTGACCCTCAAAGACTGTGTTATGTACACTTTCTTCCTAATAGATGTTATTTGTGTATACTTCCTTCCTAATAGATGCTATTTCTTCTTTAAACATTATTCATATTGGTAAGTATTAGTTCTATATTAAAAATATGCATATCTCCTTTTCCTTTCTTGATATATTTTCACTTATCTTGCTTTTCCTCCCCAACGTCCAAAATAAATAAAAAGAAACAAATAAAAAATGTGAACATTCTTCCTCCTTTATTTGATTCCCATTGGCAACAAACACCAAGAGGCAGCTTAGCATCTGCACCTCTACTATCACCAAGTGATTAAAAACTCGTCAACCCACAAGGACAGTCTCATCAGACTTTGAAGCCAGCTATTATTATAGTTCCTTAAGCAAAACGAACATGTATTAGATACTACTTGGACTGAATTCACTTTTTTTGTCCGTTTGGGGGGAAATGATTTCAAGCATATAGAAATCACTGGTTTGTACCTCATCTTTACTTCTCTTTCAGAGGCAGATGAATTTTGTTTAAGATGAATAATATTTTAGGGAAAAGATAGTATTACTATCATTTTACTTACATCTCAAGTGTATGTTTAAAGTTCTTTAGATTATTTTCCTAATGCTAGATAACTAACACAAAGGACAGCAGACTATAATTTTAAATAAAAATTGGCTGGTTTTTTTTTTTTAAGGGAGAGGATAAAATTTGAAAATAATGGTTCAAGAAGCCACGAATGAGTTTCAGTGAGGAAGAAGGGAGAAGAGGCCACTTAAATGTAGTTCCCTTTTGCAGCACTAAACATTAACAAGGTGGTCTATAATTTTTACTTAAAAAAAAAAAGAACGATTCTGTCAGTCTACTGAATGAACTATACAGATTACAAAGTATAACCGCACATAATCAAGAATAAGCCAAATGTTTCTAGTAAGGCCAATGAATACATTAATTTTAAAGAATTTTTACAACTCTAATAAAAGAAAAATAAAGGGTTATAAAACCACTTACAGTTATGGTTACTGTTTCTTGGAGACCTCTAAATTGTTTCTGCTTCTAACTGGGTGACTTTTCTTTATGTATACTAATTTACCAACTTAAAGTCTGTTCTTAAAATCAAGGTGCAAAATCTTTCAATAGGTTCTGTTGGTAAAGATATTAAGGGGCCTCCCTGGTGGCCTAGGGGTTAAGTCTCAGCACTATCAATGCTACGGACTGAGTTTGATCCCCGGCCAGGAAGCCAAGCCACATGGTGCAGCAGACCTCTCCTGTCTCACCCACTGCTCCCCTTAGCAGTGTTTTTCAGTAAGTCAGCCTATTCTGCTCCTCACTCTGTGGTGAATCCTCTCATCCCCTGCACCTCTGGCCTACACACACACACACACACACACACACACACACACACACAGGATATAATTAATATAAGTTGGTAATCATACAGAAGTGTAAGGAAATTTTGGGGTTCTGTTTTAACTTAATTTAGGCTCAGGAAACTCTAACCCATCTTCAACAATGACACTTGAAGCAATTACTAGCAGCATCTGTACATACACCACATTCCACAAGCACTCTGTATTTCCAGTCTCTATCTCTCCCCACAATTTCCCATCCTCTTGATTCTGATTCCCCAATCTATATTATGGGCACTTTTGCAGATACTATTTAGCCTTCCCAAGACACTCTAGGATTAAAAATACTTTTCCCTGACATCTGGCAAAGTAACAAACAACCAAATTTACATTATTCATTGTAAAAGATCTATCACCAATGGCTTTTCCCTACAAGATAATGTCGGAAATAGTTTTGACCCCACAATTGTATTCAATTAATAAAAAGTTAATCTTCAACAGACAGGTCTGCTTTTCTCAATCGCCATCATCATCATTGTTATTATTATCAGCATCTTCATGAAGAGGTTTATTAACACAACAGGTAAGTGACCTATATGTCTAATTTCACTCAATTCTCACAATAATCCCATGAAGTCAGTTTTCCCATTCTGACAAGTAAAAAAAGCTGAAGTACAGAAAAGTTAAACAATTTGCCCAAAGGTATATTACAAATAAATGGCAGAGCTGGGATTGAACTCAGAGCTTTTTGCCTCTTTGCTTCTTGGCTAGAGTGTATTACTTTCCAAATGTTCCTGTGGCTTTATAACTTTGATGTAAGAGGTCTGTTATTAATTAATTCAACAAATATCTCAGTTTTACTGAACATGAGGCACTGTGGTAGACAATGAGATCAAAATAAAATATAAAACTACATAAACCACAAAAATACTAATAACAATATATAATTAATACAATCATAAACGCTACTTATAAATCTTCTGAACTTGGCTGCTGAGAAGGTTTCTAGGAATTTCTATAGTAAAAAGGAAAAGATCACTAAAAAGCTACTTTTGTATGAAGGGTGTTCATTCACTCATTCACCCCTCCTCTTATTTCTCTCCCCACAAAGGACCAGGGGTTCTGACATTTTCTTAGGTATAGGTTAACAATATTTTATACTATAATAGTACTGCGTATCTGAGAGACTTAAGAAATGCTCCAAGATGAGATTTCTGCACTGTATAAACATTAACTCAGATTTATTATAACAACAGCATGCTTCATCAACACCAAAGATTACCTGAGAACAATACAGATCAGTAAGAGTGCTGGAAATTATGATCATACTTAAGGACAAGTTGGCAATTGGTAACCATTAATCCTTAAGGCCTCCCTTAAGGCAGTGGAATTTAATCAAGGGTGGCTCCAAGAGCCATGTGAGCTTCAGTATCCATAGGTAAAGAAAGAGAAAGCCAGAATGTTCAGATTAAAGAACTCAGGTCTGGGTAGATAATTTCTATTTTAACCACCCCTAAACTCCATCACTGTACAACTAGGCCAGCAGCAGGGTCATGCAGGGTGAAATGAAGGCTTCCTTACATAATATCAAAGCTCAGGATCTCGACTAGGAGATCCCTTCGTGTCCTAGCCAGAAGCACTAGCATTTCTGCACAGACAAATTTCCACAGGGTGCTTCTGCTGCTGTAATTCCAGAAAGCTGCCCAGTGTTAGTCCACTGCTATCAACATGTTTCATCCAGAGGGCAGAACTTAAATGTCAATTTTTTTGGTGTACACTAAGGCAATATAAAAGAGACTAAATACTAACAATCACAGATTTATCGATAAGTCATCCAAGGCACTTTATTCAGAAAACAATTTTATAAATTCAGATTTATTTCCTATCACTTCATTCTAAACAAGTAAAAACTAAAAAAATATATATATATACTTATTTAAAAGTGAGACAAGGGTCAGGAAAAAAAGGAGAAAAACAAATAAACAAAAGCGAGACAAGTGAGAAAGTTCATTACTTACACACTTATCTCAGGTCTACCTAAAATTCCTTAGCTCAAAATTTCTAGAAGAGTGTCCGAAGAACCTGAGGGTATTTATTGGAGGAGGAGAACCAAAAAATGAGGAAATTTATAACTCTCACCATATGATAAAAGAGCAAACAGGAGGTTCCTTCAAGAAAGTTCATATTTTCACTTTTTTCTAATTTTGTTAAAAGTGGTAATAAGTTTCTGAGATATCAGGATAAACACAAAATAACCCATAGCTATGTTTCATCTTCTACCACTTAACTGCTTTGCCCTTCATGGCCTTTATTAATCCAAATTATTTTACATTTTAAATATTTTGACTGAAGCATTGGTATCAGCACCAACATTATAAATTTTAGTTCATACTACCTTATAAAACCTGTCTTAAATCTTTTAACTAAAACTTAAGTCTTCATATAACACATGGAACTGATTTTGTTGCTAAGGGTGAATCTGACACCCTCCTTTAAAATGTTTCATAAAACATGTTAAAGTACCTTTTAATAGGGACACTTTAGCAAGGGGTTCATTTAGGTCTTGCTCATCCATTTGGGCGTCTACAGTGGGGGGAAAAAAGATGATTACAGACAGTACTCAGACCTACCAACAAGCTATCATTATCAAAATAAATTAAAATTTTACAGCTATTATATTTAAGAAGTTGAAAACAGTTTTAACAATGTAGCCAAGATTTAAGGGAGAGACTTGGTAAACAGAAGCATTTCTTTTGTCCCAAGCACAAAATAAAATCTCCACCCACTTTAACCTATAACCACATTAACATCTGCAGATTTGTAAATATTAGGTTAAAACTTACCTGTAGTGTCGTCACTACTTTTTTCTTTGCTTGGACTCAGAGTATCTGATAAATCAGATTCCTTTGCTCTTGCCTGATTTTCTATCAAGAAAAAGAAATAGAATCTCATTACAATTTAATAGCATATATTTAAGCAAAAAAAAAAACAAAACAAAACTGCTTCAGGCTATGAGTGTTCTAAATCTACTGGTATGCAAAATATTTTTAAAATTAACTGAGGTCACTGAATCTCTTACTTCTTCACCACTCTAGTCCAAAATGGAATGCTGGTTATTACACGTAGCTCATATTAAATTATAATGTGGATCATATCTGCTGTGCAGAGGGCTGGGGCTTTTCAAGGCTGTCCACTTGCCAACTGGAAACAAAAATGAAGCAAGCTTTGCTAAAATATTCAGACAACTGGAACAAATATAGCAAAATTCCCAGGACAATGTGGACATTGTATGAAGATGATGAAAGGAAATGGTTTTATTGTATAAAAACACTAGTTAGGTTGCTTTAGTAATATTTATAGTCAAAATAAAACAAAAAAAAATCACATTTGTTACAAAACATTTAAAACAAGAAAATATAACTGTACTTGAACCACACTGAGAAAAGGCTTAAAATAAAAATGTTTTGAAATTATTTGCAAGTGATAAGCTGCCTAATCCAATGAAGTCATCCTAGACCTAGTTTTCAATGAATTGTTCTGAAAAATCCTAACTTTGAGCTCAATAATTCATTAAAAATGATTACCAATTAATTAGGATCTAGAGCCTCACATGTAATGGTAGATGTGGATATATTAGCGTATAGTAGGATAGCATTTATAGAAACAGTCATTTCTTTGACCAAAGTCCTATAGAATCTCCCTATCTGCCAAGCTTTATATCCCAGCATTTAGCCATAATCTGATCACTGCATTCATTAGTTCTCAAATGAGTTCTGTTTCAATCAGGTTAGTCTCTTTACAGGGTTGAGGTGTTCAAGCTCAAGTTAATATTTCTCTAACCTCAATGATCATTCTCTCTAACTGGTTTATTCATCATTTAAGATATAACTTACTTCCCATCCCCTATCACTTCTAAGGAAGTTTTGGTTCTCTTCGGCATGTTCTTCCTTTTTATTGCATATTCTCTTTATTATATGTTTTTGCAATTAATCATGTTTTTTATTTATTTATCTATCTATCTATTTATTTATTTATTTAGTGGGACCCTCGCCGGCGGCTGGGGAAAGAACCGGCGCTGCAGAGGCTGTGGGCAGCCTCTCAGCCCAGCGCTCAACTGCTGCGCCACCAAGGAAGGCCCTAATCATGTTTTATTTTATATCATCCTGTGTGTGTGTGTGTGTGTGTATCTTATTTCCTTAATGAGAATATAAATTCATTAAGCATGTTTATTTTTGGTAAAGTTATACATTTGATTGCACTGTTTGTGGTAATATCAAAATTTTAAATGTCCACAGTACATTTCTTAAGGAAATAAAAGACTACATATGGTATATAAGAATGTTCACTACAGTATTTTTCAAATGAAATGGAAAAATATTCAAGATACATGTACTACCATTAAGTAAAAATAACATCTGTTAAGGGAATAGTATGTATAACAAGACCTATTTAGATTGAAAATAGATATACATTTAACTATGAATTCATAGCTGTATACATTATTCAAGTCCAGAAAGACACTAGTAGTTATTGCTGGAGGTAGGGACATGGTAGATATTTATTTTCTAACTTCACATAGTCACATACTGTTTAAAAAAGTATAGTGAATATACAGTTTGTCAATATCATCAAGCGATATTTCATTCTGGAAGTAATGAAAAACATATTTAAAACCATTACTGTCAAAATACTTAGTAAAAATGTAAGTTGTTATAGCTATTCCATATAAGAAAACCCTAGAATTTGTGGTTTAACTTGTGAAATGGATGCTGAATTATAAGAGTACTTTGCTTTTTTTCCTCACTGCCATTTCTAGTCAAGGGTCAGATGCTGAGAGACAGAGAACTTAGATTAAAAGTGAAGTCACTGACCACGAAGGCCCTTGGGAACCCAATCTGTGACTTCTGGTGCATTCATTTCTGAATGTTCTAGTTTTGATCACAAAGTTATAGTCTCAAGGGAAGCTAATACATTTAACCTATACAGAGGCAGTAAAAGAACCACTCTGGAGAAACTAAAAGGAAAACAGACTAACAATTCTCCTTTGATTTTAATATTCCTAACAATTTTATGATGAAGATAATGAAGTAAAATGAGTGAAATATATTTTCAAAAGTATTCTCCTGGTTTAGAAGGAACTTTTATTTTACAGAGTATAAGGCAGGGAGGTAAAATTATCTAAAAGTGAGACCAAATCTTCCATTAAGATCTTACTAGAATGCAAGCTCCATGGGGGCATGGATTTTTGTCTGTTTTGTAAACTGCCATTCCCAACTGCATAGAACAGTGCACAGACCACATAACAGGTGCTCCCAAAAGAGGATGATTTAAGGCACAAATCTATTTTGAGTAAGAAGGAAAGTTTTTAGCAAGTCAAGTCATGGTCTATTAAGAAGTTATTACTGCTTGATTTTCTCTGCAGCATTTAATCATTAAGATACACACCAATAGTATAGAGAAGGAAATGGAAGAACAGCTATCAATATCAAAACTGTTCCCATACTGGAAAGTCTACAATACAATAACTATTTTCACTATGTTTTTAAGTATCAGTCCTAGCAATGGATGGGCAAAACAAACATACGGGCTGTAGACCACATCCTAGACCACTGGAACTATTACTTGGAAAGAAAGCAAGAATCAAGAAGGAGCAAGATAAGGTGTATTTGTCAGATATAAGAACAGTACGTCCTGCTCTATAAGCAGTATTTCATTAAATTCTCACAAAACTCTACAGGTTAAATATTGTCAATTCCATTTTATAAATAAGGAAACTGAAGTTTAAAGAGCTGAAGTAAATTGCCTGGCAGCATACAGTTAGTTAATAGATTCAACATGGAGCTGAATCCAGTGGTCTTACCTACTCAAATTCCTTCTGCCTCCACCCCTAAAGCTATTGTAAGATGAGAGTTAGTGCTTAAACAGAAAGCATATGCAAACTTGATTACATTCTGCATTAGGTGAAATATCTGCAGGAATACTAAAACCTGTAGCTGCTAATTGACCATTTCTAGCAATTGCTATTTATTAATGCAGACAGAAAGATTTCTCCAAAAACACTATCAATGAAGGCATTTTAAAAACAAGACAATCCAGCCAATCCAAAATACTTTATAGCTATTTTAAATCATTTAAAAATGTAACTTATTTCAGCAATCCAGTTTGATATGAGGGTTTGTGTACCTCTGCATGTTTATTGTGAGTACTAATAAAATGTTGACTGCTGGTAGAAAAATCTGTGGGTATATAAGACTTGCATATACATAAAGGATGTTTTCTATTCACTTGCATGGGCTTACTGGCTATAATTTATTTAATAGTGCCCTTATTACTGGACACTTAGGTTGTCCTCTTTTTGCATTTATAAAAACACTGAAACAGGGCCTCCCTGGTGGCACAGGGGTTAAAAACAGCACTATCAAGCTATCACCAGTCACTGCATCATGAGTTAATCCCAGGCCGACCAGGGAGCAACCCACATGGCACAGCAGACCTCTCCTGCCTCGCCCGCTGCTCTCCTCAGCAGTGTTTTTCAGTAGATCAGCCTTTTCTGCTCTCCTCTCTTTCCAGTGAATCCTCTCACCACCTCTGGCTTACACCCCAGTTCTTGTGTGCATAAATGAATAAATCTTTAAAAAACAAAAAAACACTGAAACAAATACCCTTGCTGATTTGTCTAATTTGTTTCTTAAGATAAAAACCCAGAAGTGGCATTATTGGATTAAAAAGCATGCTCTTTTAAATTACATAGATTATACATTTATAATTAACACATAGATTATACAAGGTTTGAAGTAAACTTGCACAAATCTGTTTCAGTAATGACATCACATGATTTCAAGTAAATATATTCTAATACCGAATGCATTAAATAGAAACACTAAGGTAGCAAAATACTTTAATTAAGGAAGCACTGATTTTTTTCCCTAATTATTAAACCAACGAATACAAACAGGTATTTAGGTGGTGAAGTGAAAGCTATTTTAAAGTCTGTTCTCATCTCCCTTTAAATGAGGAGAAATAAATTGCCATACGTACTAAAAATAGTTCACCATTCTGAAACTCAATGCCTGTTTGCCAGAATAATATTCAGTGATTCATATTCTATGCATTCTTTCTCCAAATATGGCATCTGCTATGCACAAAATTGAGAAAGGGAGTCACCAGGTATTTGAAATAACGCACTATCCTTTTAATACTTTTACAAGCTCAATGGAATCGGTTGCTTTCATTTTGTTTCGTTACATTTTATGAAAGTAAAATAGAATTTACAGAAATTGAGTATTCTAAACTGTTACCATTCATTGTTTTAATTGACCAAAATGATGTATTTCTAAATTTTATACTGGTATGTTCTGATGAACATCCTAGAGTGATTGTGAGTATATCCCACCAAATTAATTTGCCCAATTTCCCTATGAATAAGTGACTTGACAATATGCTTTAAAATTCACTTTTCTAACAAAAAAATTAACAGAATAAACTACTATAGGCAATTATAGACTATTCATACAAACCTAACAATATTCTATATACATACTTCTATTTGAATTAAATTGAGATGCCAAAAATTAGGAAAATGTTAAATATAAAATGGTAAAGGTATAATAACCCCAAAATTGAAATCATAAACATTTTTTACCTGTTGTTTCAAAAAAGATATACATTTTGTTTGTTAAATTTTGAGGTCAAAGTCAAAAATAATGCTGGAAGTGAGACAGAGAGATCACAGCAAATCTTTCACACCTAAAGAAAACTATTGCAAGCATTAACTTTCAAAAAAAGTACATATATAGCTATTTAAAAAGATTCTTTACAGTTAAGATATCCTCCTTAAAACAGAACTCCCAACTATTTTATATTATCTGGTACTGTTATTAGATGCCATTTTGTGGGCTATAAGAACTACAAAGTGATGATTAAAATACTATAACCTTGAAAATGTACACTGACCTTCTTTATCCAAAAGAGTTGTCAAAACCCACAGAAAACCCAGATAAAACGAACCTTTTGAAAGCTTTGTTTCTTCTACCACTTTGGTTAGATGCCCCTCGACAATCAGCTTCTCTGTCAAAGAAAATAAACGTTACTATCCAAGTCCAAACCGAGCAGCATTTCCCTGAGCCAGGCAGTGTAACACATTCCATGACCAAATTTAAAGATGATAAAATTACTCCCATGACTAGGCTTGAAAAAACTTTGAATCTGGAAGGAGAACTAAGAGAATTTGAACAATAATAGAGCAATCAGGTTAATAAAAATAACCTGGGGCTAGGGGTTCCCTTTGCTTTTATTTTCATTAGTTCTTACCTTATTTTAAAAGTCTAAGCTTTTTTAAAGGGACTCAGAACAAAGCAACCCTCTTTAAATCAAGGATATTAAGTTGAAATAAAGGAATTCTAAGAAGGTATTTTATTTAAATACAGAAGATTTACAAATTATGTTATACAAATAGCTTACTTAACCCTATTCATGTAATTCAGTAGAAATGCCTATATGTTTCAGTAAAATCAATCATTTTATAAGAGTGAAATTTTGTTTATTTAAAGAAGTGAAATTTTGTTTTGCTTTGTTTTAGTTGGGGGAATTCTCTGTAAATGTATAATGCAGTGTCTTTATAATTTATTTAAAGTCAGATTTTCATATTCTCTAGTTCACTGAAAAATATCCATTCTGTATGCCCCCTTTATTTAATCCTGTATGTCAGTTAGTCTCCTTCAATTTATACTTTTGCAGCATGTGAAATAATTTCTCTAGTCTTTCACTCTTGAACCCCCTGAACTTGGTTTATAGTCATCACTTAACCACTGAAAATGCTCTGAGACAACCATAACCTCCTATCTGCCAAAGTCCATGGCTCCTTTTCATAATTTTCATTTCATATAGGCTCTTTGCAATATGTGGCACTGATTCTACTTTGGACATTATTTATTGATCATTTCCTTTTTTTAAAAGATGTATTTTTATTTATTTATACATAAAAGAACTGGGCTATGGGCCAGAGGCACAGGAGGTGAGAGGATTCACCAGAAACAGTGGGGAGCAGAACAGGCAGATCCACTGAAATACACTGCTGAGGGGAGCAGCGGGCGAGGCAGGAGAGGTCTTAGCTTCCTGGCTGGGGCTCGAACTCATGCCCCAGTGACTGGCAATAGCTTGATAGCGCTGAGACTTTAACCCCTGGGCCACCAGAGAGGCCCTATTGATAGTTTCTTTAGATGATTAAGCTCTCATATCCTACCATCATTCTTATAAGGGTTGCATTTTATTCACCTATAATAAGTATTTATATTATGACTACATACCTGAGTCATAAAATATGCTATGATATTTCCCTTCTTATACAACCTTTAGCTTTTTTGGAGCTTATAAAGTCTTGTTTTGTTTTGCTAATTTTTAATACATCTACCTCAAACATAGGTCAACTTCTTACAAAACATAAAATTCTCAGTATTGTCAAACATCAGGTCAGCTATCCCAGTATATATTCCTGTCTCTCTCTTCCACAGGCCCTGAATCTGTTGTAGCCTGGGCTTTATCCTGTGCAAAATCATCTGCCCCAGATTCTAGATCTTCCTCTGCCTGCTTTATTCTCCTTGTTTTAGTGTAATGTACCCTCTGATAATTTCCCAGAAAGGGCTAAAGAAAAGATAAATAAATGACATATAAGTTATCCTGAAAAGTAGCATATTACCCACACATTTGGTTGATGGCTTCATTAGATACACAATTAATTCTGTAGGAAGTAAATTTTCCTTCAGAATTTTGAAAGCATTGTTCCAAAGTCTTCTAGCTCCAAACTAGAAAGTGTATTTAATGCCAGTCTCACTCCTGTTCTTTAGCATGCATAGTAGAGAATTCTTGTGTTCAGCCATGCCTGGTTTGCCAGTCCCTTTTGGGGTACCAGTGAGAAAAACTCAGGCCAAATCCCTAGTACTGAGAAAGGTTCACATAACTGGTTCTAGGTTGGGCCAAAGCATTTAAGAGAGTAGAATTTTCTACACTTCTCTATTACCCTGCCATAGGAAGCATGTGTTGAGATGGCAATGTCAAAAGATGCTAAAGCTGCCATTAGCTTAGATCCCTGGGTAACAGTGTCCCCACTCACCATGGACATGTAACATGAGTTAAAAATAAATGCTGAATTGTCATTAAGATTTCAGGATTTATTTATTGCTGAATTATAATTTAGGTTAATATTACTAATATGAGATCCATTGTTCCTCTCAGGTAGTTTTTAGAACCTTCTCTTTATCCCAGTTATTCTTTTTTTTTTTTAAGATTTATTTATTTATGCATAAAGAACTGGGGTACAGGCCAGAGGTACGGGGGTGTGAGAGATTCACCAGAGATAGAGTGGGGAACAGAACAGGCAGACTGACTGAAATACACTGCTGAGGGGAGCAGCAGATGAGTCAGAAGAGGTCTGCTGAGCCATGTGGGTAGCTCCCTGGCCAGGGATCGAATCCATGCCACAGTGGCTATGGACAGCTTCATAGGTTGTGTCTTAACCCCTTGTGCCACCAGGGAGGCCCCACTATCCCAGTTATTCTTAAATTTCATGTGGTCTCGTTTATTAATTCTGGTGAAATTCATATAACATAAAATAATTATTTTAAGGTGAAAAATTCAGTGCCATTCAGTATAGTCATAATGTATGCAGCCACCATCTCTATCTAGTTCCAAAACATTTTTATCACTCCTAAAAGGAAACCTCATGCTTACTAAGAATTTACTTTCAAGTCTCATCATCACCACCTCTGGTCATCACTCATCTGCTTTCTGTTTCTAAGAATTCCTACTCTTGATATTCATGTAAAAAGAATGACACAATATGTGACTTTTTATATCCAGGTTAGTGTGTTTTTAAAAATATATTGTGTTGAACAATGAAATCATTCTTTCAATGTTTTAGAAGCTCATCTCTTCAATTCTGGGGAATTACATTCTATTTCACTGATAAATTCTCTTTTCTCATCTCTTCCCAGACTCCCCTTTTCTCACTATGGAAATCTTATTATTTAGATGTTAGATCAAGTCCCAAATTTTCTTAAATTTTACTTCTTTCATTTCTTTAAAAAATAACTCATCTTAGACTCAACAAAAACAAAGAAAATAATCCAGTCAAAAAATGGGCAGAAGAACTAAAAAGAAACTTCTCTTAAGAGGAAATGCGAATGGCCAACAGGCATATGAAAAAATGTTCAACATCACTTGTAATCAGGGAAATGCAAATCAAAACTACAATGAGATACCATCTGACACCAGTGAGAATGACACATATTAAAAAAACTAGCAACAACAAATGTTGGCGAGGGTGTGGAGAAAAAGGAACTCTCCTGCACTGTTGGTGGGAGTGCAAACTGGCCCAACCACTATGGAGAGCTGTGTGGAGATTTCTGGACCTACTAAACACAGAGCTTCCATAGGATCCAGCAATTCCACTCCTAGGTATTTACCCAAAGGACACAGAAACATCAATTCCAAAGAGCACCTGCACCCCTACGTTATAGCAGCACTATTTACAATAGCTAAGCTTTGGAAACAACCCAAATGCCCAAAAATAGATGACTGGAGCAAGAAGATGTGGTACATATACACCATGGAATATTACTCAGCATTCAAAAAAGATAAACACATGCAATTTGCAGCAACATGGATGGCGCTGGAAGGGATCATGCTCAGCGAAATAAGCCAAAAAGAAAAAGAAAAATACCGGATGGTCTCACTCATAGCAGGAATCTAGAAAACTTAAATAAGGGACCAGGAAAAAGAATAACTATAAGAAAGAAAATATCAAAATCAACAAACAACTATGAACCAGAAACACTCTAAGGGGGGAGGCGGGCAGGGAAAGGAGGGGTTGGGGTCAAAATAAGGGGGTTGGGGCCTCCCCGGTGGCGCAGCGGTTGAGCGCTGGGTTGCGAAGCTGCCCGCAGCCTCTGCGACGCCGGTTCGATCCCCGGCTGCTCCCCGGCCACCGGAGGAGGGTCCCACATGGCGCGCAGACCTCCCCTGCCGCCCGCTGCTCCCCTCAGCAGTGTACTTCGGTCCTTCTGCCTGCTCTGCTCCCAGCTCTGGCTCTGGTGAATTCTCTCACCCTCCCGCGCTTCTGACTGTACCCAGTGCATGTATAAACAAAACAAACGAACAAACAAACAAATAAATAAATAAAACATGCCTCTATTAAAAAAAAAAAAAAAATAAGGGGGTTGTAATTGTATGGGGAATATAAAAATAAAATTTAAATAAATTTAAAAAAAAAAGAAATGAGCTGGGAAAAAAAAACTCATCTTTTTGTTATATTTTCTGAATTTTCCTCTGCTTTTTCTTCTATTCCTTTTTCTGATTAAATTTTAAAAATCTGGAATCATATTTTTAGTTTTCAAGAATTCTATATGCATTCTGCTTCTCAAAATAGCATTTATCTTGTTTCATCCACAAAACATCTTATCTCTGAAGGAATTATGTCTTTTAAAAATGTTTTCTTCTGCTTCTTTCATTTTTCCTATTTAACATTTTGTTTGTTTTTTAATTAATTTGCTCTCTCCTTTCTCAACAATTTCCCAAAAAGTCTGGCGATCTTGACTGTCTCTTCACATTTAAGATGAGATAATAAAAAACTGACAAGGTTCTGTGCATGAATGGGACTTGCCACCTACTTGCCATCACACAGTGGCGGTTTATTGGGAGACATTCAAATGTCAGTATCAGTGTTTTTCTTCTGGTCCAGCTTACTTGCAGTAAAATCCTCTAACTTTTCTAAGGAATGTAAACCTGGTGAACAGCATTCTAATTCAAATGCAGACTTCACTGAATCCTCCTTCTTTTTTTCCCCCAAAAGATGTTCATACCCTAATCTCAAAACATTTCTGAAGTACCCCATCTATTGACTCTCCATTTCAACCTCAGAGAGCAAACCTCGTGTGTGTGTGTGTGTGTGTGTGTGTGTGTGTGTGTGTGTGTGTGTAAAGAAACATTCGTCTGTCTGGAAGGGATGGGGGGAGAAAAAAGAGGATTGGATTATTATATAAAGGGGTGATACTATACCACCCTGTTTGGTGCCC